TTTTACACTTTTTACACGTGCGTAGCTGAATAGGCTACCCTGCCATATACGCTGCCAGCCATGTCCCGTTAAGGCTTCTTCGGCCGCACGGTCAACGCGGTTCGAAAAAAGATTCCTTATTAGAAATTTACAAATTTCCCCTGCCAAAAAAATCGAGGCGACGTTGGAGAAGGGAGTGAGCTCCACCCTCGAAGTTTCCAAAGGGTAACGCCTTTCCGAAGACTAAGACAAATAAAGCGGAAAGGCGCGAGGAAGCACATTACATTACATTACCGTTCGGCCTCCGAACACGCGCCTACGTGAATAAATAACTTGTAAACATATTTGTCGCAAGCATTTAATAACAACACCTCACATCCCGACATTCATTTCTGATCTACTGGATTCATCTCAATGTATTCAAGAGTAATCTAATTTGATCGATATTGTCTAAGTTTGATTATGTTTGACCTAGTTTGATTTAAGTAACATTCTTAATGTACAATATAATATCTTTGCTTCTAGTCAATTCGGTTCTTCTCGGCGTATTTTGTTCCTTCTAGCTTGATTTTGTTTCATTGAATTTTATGTGTTTGACTCAAACATGTTAAAACACCAATTACTGACATATGTAGTCAAACGATATTTAATCAAAAATCGTAGACTTGTCTCAGTATGCACAACCTATTTTACAAGAAGCATTCCATGTGTTCCAATCAAATGTAATCAAACAATCACAAATCAAGGCAAACCACGTAAAACCTTATCAGTCTTAAACAAATCGACCCAACTGAACTTACAGTAATCATCGTAACAAACCGTATTATTTTTATACCCTGTTTGACGTTGTTGCAACAAGTTTGAAGCAATAATTCCCAGGAAACATTGACTGCCACCTTATTTTATTCAAAGCCTCGTCAACCGTGTACAGATTGTTACTGGAAACGACGGATACTTTCCCAGAAGCAACTGTATTTTCCTTACGATCCTTTGCGCCATGAAACCGGACATAAACTGCTGCGTATTACTTCCACGCGGCTCGTGAAACCAGCGTCCCACGATCGGAGAAACGCGCCCGGATTTTCGGGTTTATAACTCGACATTCTTATGGTCCCGTTCCGGGGATTATTGATACGACGACAGATAACCTTCCCACAGCCGATGTTTTCGTGCCAGGCCGCAGGTTTCAAGTCCTGAGGAATTATTACGCTCGATTGATTTTTTATCAACCCCTTGCCTTATAACGTGTCAGACTCGCGATGAAGATTTCAAATAGAATTTAACGAACTATTACTCGATTCTTTGAAAAGTAATTTAAATATTTAATCAGTAAAATATAAAGATTCGAGGGTGGATTAATTTAATTAATAATATACAAATAGTATTTGTTTTTTAAAAATTGAAGTTAAATGTTATTCTTCGGTTATTATTTATTATATTTTAGTGCAAAGATGGACGTAGAATATATCTGAAATATTTCCTGTTTCCTTCGATAAATTATTAATAATAAGCTAGTTGTATTGATTATAGCGTATCCGCTCTGCAAGTGTTTATTTCGACGAGGTTTTACGATCCACTGGGAATCCCGTCGCGTTTTACGATCACGGCTACATTCCGCGAAACCCGGTCCAGCCCGGCGTTCCCGAAATTCCTCTGTAATCCCTGGAAACACGATCCATTTTACATTATCCGCGATATTTCATTTAAAGGGGCGATTTTGCTTTTGTTATCCTAGTAATTCATTGAATTCGACTCGTCTTACAAGATTTTCGAGATAGCTTGCAGAATTAATTCGTTAACTCGTAGTTATTTCGTAGTTAATTCATTTAACAAAATAAACAAATTTATATGCTGGAATATTTTAATACAATGAAAAAAGTGTTCAAATTAAATAAACATGAAGTAACCCTTGTATTATGATTCTGATATTTTTATAATAATTACTCCATGTATTAATTATTAAGGAAGGCATACATACAGGGAAAAACAATAAAACAGTAAACTAATAAAAATAGTAATATCAACCACGTACACAATACTAACAATAACATTAACAACACTAATTAACAAAAATCCTAATAACATCAATCCCGTACACAATACCAGCAACAATATCAACAATACTAATTAACAAAAATACTAATAACCTCAATCCCATACACAATACCATTAACAACACTAATCAACAAAACAGCAATAACATCAACCCCATAAACACTCCCAACAATAATATTAACACCAGTAACAACAATGATATCAATAAACTAATACAAAGTTACATGACACCGAGCAGGGGGTTGGTTTTTATGAAAACGAGACACGTCTAATAATCGAGCCTGTGAGCCGTAAAAGCTGCTGGCGGCCAGCGAGGTTGGCGAAAGGGGGTGAAGGGGTCGATGCCGGCCAGAGCCGTGAGGGGTTGGGGGTGGAAAACAAGGGTAAAGGACCTTAAATCTCCCGGTCGCTTCCGTGGTCGGGGGTGGGATTAAGATTTTATTTTATCAGGACGTTTCTTAACGGCTGCGCGTTAACTTTAACGTAATCCTTTTACGACTCGGTCGCTTTTACGATGAATCCGGCCACTCTCCTACGGGCGCGGGTTCATAACGCTCGTCGAGATGTGCGCGAGTGTTTACGCCCGCCGTGGGGCTGATCCCACCCCTTTGTATCGGTTTAGGAGACGATCTATGAACCGGAACGATTTCCTTGTCTTATTTCACTTCGCTTGGACGGTCAACATGGTATCGAAACTGGGGGTTGTTATAGGGGTTGTTGGAAATTTCGTTGACACTCAGCTTCATGCTGGTCGCAGGAGATTTTCTTCGTTGTTTCACCTTCGTTGTGAATTTTTGGAGAATATTCTCGGTGTACAAGGATTTCGAAGATTTTGGAAATTTATTTGACGCATAGGAGGGGATGGTAATCAATTTGGAAAATTTAATTGAAACGTGTAGAAATGAATGGTAATTGCTTTTCGAGGTTTATTCAATGAATATGGGAGATATTTATAATTGATTCGGAAGTTAAGTTTATTATTGCGTATATTAAATTGATTAAATAATATATTTCGATTATACATTATTGTGATCAATTGGGAGAATTTGGGAAATTTGATTGATACGCGTAGAAAATAGTGATAATTAATTTTGAAGGTTTGTTTAATGAATAGAGTTTAGTTGAAATAGTTTAGTATGATTTATGTAAATTAAATGTACTGAACTAAATAATATAGTTTGATTATACCCAATATTTATTGTGACCAAGTGAAATAAAGATGAAATGAGGAACAAAGATTTGTGTAAATATTGAAGGTGTAGGTTCACTGATCCGAGGGATCGGGAAAATAATGGAATCCTTTCGGTTGAGGCAGCATATTACGCGTCAAGGTATAATAAATACCCGGTAATGAAGGTGTAACTCAGGCGGCCATTTTGAAAAAGTTGGCTCGTTAAAGAGGGATCTCCAGAAATAGAATTGATGCCAGCTTTATTCGTATCGATGGATTAATTTTCTGCGACGTCTTAATGAGTGTTTCACTTCCCCTTTTACCTTTAAATCACTGGTAATTGCTAGGTCGTGCGTTATTTGCCTTGCCAAACATGAGGATCTATAGCGGTCTGACCACCTACTACGATCGTCTTAAGCTGCAGGTTCTATGGATTCACTATAAATTTTCATTCTTGTGAAGATATCCATACATAATCACAGAAGACAGACTCATAATTACCTAAAGACTAATTTAAGCTAGATCTAAATGTAACCTAATTTAGACTTAAGTCCTAGATACGACTCGAACCTAACTCAAAATTAATTAGTGTCTAACAACGATCTAAAGAAAAATTAATTAGTGTCTAACAAAGGTCTAAAGAGAAATTAATTAGTGTCTAACAAAGATCTAAAGAGAAATTAATTAGTGTCTAACAACGATCTAAAGAAAAATTAATTAGTGTCTAACAAAGGTCTAAAGAGAAATTAATTAGTGTCTAACAAAGATCTAAAGAGAAATTAATTAGTGTCTAACAAAGATCTAAAGAAAAATTAATTAGTGTCTAACAAAGGTCTAAAGAGAAATTAATTAGTGTCTAACAAAGATCTAAAGAGAAATTAATTAGTGTCTAACAAAGATCTAAAGAGAAATTAATTAGTGTCTAACAGAGATCTAAAGAAAAATTAATTAGTGTCTAACAAAGATCTAACAGAGATCTAAACAAAGTCCAAAATGTAGCACGTTCCAATTAGTCTTCAATTTTCACAAATTAATCTCCACTTTCCACAAATCAATCTCAATTCCTCTAAAAATAACTATAACCCCATATGCCAGTTACAAACACCAACTAACCAGCTACCAGAGTGACACATAATCACAACAACTAAACTTCTTAATCACTTAAAGACTAATTTAAACCAGTTCCAACAATAACCCAATACAACCTCAGATCTGACATACTCAAACCGAACTCAAACAAAATTCCCATCCACGAAAGATCTAACCAACTCGAAAATATAACAAACAACCTCCAGTTTCCACAAATCAGTCCCAATTCCCCTAAAACTAACTAAAACCCCGTATCCCAGTTACAAACACTCGGTAACCAGCTAACTGATTCCAAGAATGATCTACAGTAATGTCCCCTTTCGCCGGCAGATGGCTGCTAATTAGTTTCTTTTCTCGCAAGTGTCTCTTCCAGCGTCAATTTCTCTAAAGAACCGGTCCCGTTCTCCTCCGCGGTTTATTATAATCTTCAGAGAGTGAGAAATTCTGTCCCAGTGAAACCAAGACCAGAAAATAAACTCCGAAAAAGTGTCCCGCTGGTTTTGTGTGTCCGCCAGGTTCGAAAGGAGCGCGCCAACCGAGTTTCCGTTGAAAGACCTTTTAATCCGATATGATGAAAAGATCAGGAAGAACCGTCACTCGCTGTGCAAAGATGTTTTTCACACAGGCACCCGCGGCCCGGGCGGCCCCGTGACGTAATTATGCAGACCGGAAGCGTGTAACGAGAGCTCGGGCTTCTCTTTTTCAGCAAGAATGGCTACGTGTGCCTGGTGTTACACCGAAGGGACGACCACGTAATAGAGATGCAACTGTCGGAATGGAGCGAGCAGCCTGACTTCGTCTGCAACTCGAGTACGTTCAACTCCCACTCGAGGCCGTACACGACGTACATTAGTAAGTCAATTACGATCATTTATTAACACCTCGACGCCCGGTCTTTTAACCGTTCGCGCCGTGAATCGCCCGGCGCTTATTTCTCAACGTCTTGTTCGTTATGGCGAATGATCTAAGAGCCTTGAAATATTTACGTTAACACTAGAACCACCGTACCAGTCAGAATGACTGGTTTCCATTTGTTTGTTTCGCAGTTACTAATACCTTAAAAGCATTGAATATTTGAAATGATTTTAGAAATAGTTTCACTTGAGTGCTATGATGAATATCCAGAGAAACTGAAAATAACCTATTGTTACAATTTTTATAGAGATTACGTATTAATCGTATTAAATGCTTTGTAGTTCTAGTGTTAACCGTTGGAATGGTTTGCAGGATGTCTGAGGAATTAATAATCATTCGGATGAATGAAGATACTTTGTTGATACTGGGTTTACGGGGGTTTATTGTATGGTTTGTTCTATTGTCGGTGGAAATGTTCGTTGGTTTAAATCTTGGAAATTGGGGATTTAGAAATAGAGTAATGGATTGATGTAGATGTTGGTAATTGGTTTTGGAGGTTTATTTAATGAATGTGGGAGATATTTATAATTGATTTGGAAGTTTTGTGTTGAGTGTATTGAAACGAGTAAATAATATATTTCTAGTGTACATTATTGTAATTAACAAATTTGGGAAATTTGATTGATATGTGTAGAGAATAGTGATCGTTAATTTTGGAGGTTTGTTTAGTAAGTAGAGTTTGGTCTAAATAGTTTAGTATAATTTATATAAATGAAATATATTACACGATATTGATATCGAATAAAACTGTTTAATTAAAGTAAGTTGACAACGGTAATGTAAGAACTATAATGCTAAACAGTTACTAATTGTTCCTATTTATCTTAGCTACACAAGAATTAATTAGTGTTAATCCTCCCCTACTTCCAACCCTTCTCATTACCCCAAAAAACCTAAATCCTCTTAGCAATTGAACAAATCGACAACACTAAATTTTCCAAATAATTCTTATCATCCCCCGACATCAACGTCATCCCTTCCAAAACACCGTTGAATCACTCGAGCATTCGCAGGCGCAAATAAATTCCCAAAATCCCCGAGCGCGACGTTTTCACTTAAGGCACAGCCTTCAGGTGGTGAAGGGTTAAATTTCCGCGACGGAAATCGTACGTTCGCCCGCAACGCGTGATCACGTGACGGTGCGGCTCTCAATTTGGGAGCAGAAATAATTTAGGGGGCGAGGGCGGAAGATTCCTGGGGTCGAAGTTTACACGGGCCAACGTAAACGCGGGACAGCTAATGAAATTCCAGGTTGCGCACGAAACGAAGGACAGAGGTTCCGAACTTCCGTGATCCAATTCGGATTAAGTGCGGCCGAAATTTCGCGCGACACTTGAACGCGATTCCGCGCGGCCGAAATCAATCGCGACCAATTGTCCGCGTTGTTTCGATTTTTTTCCCCGGATCGCCGGGGATTACTGGCAACGTTCCATTTGGCCGGCGACGACTTTTTCGCTCGTTAAATATTGCACTCGTTTATTGATTGTATTAATGGCGGCGGAACGCTTTTTAGTAATTGATACCGCGGCTCATAACCCAATTATAAGTTATTCATTAACCGTAGGACGTGGCTGCAAACTTAAAAATTGAATTGTTAGTTTTCAGCAGGGGGAAATTTGTTTTTTTTTCGTTTGGTCTTCGGACGTTGGAAATAGATTTATTGCATTCCTGTGGCAAGTGAATAATTGTGATAGGATAATGGATCGGGTTTTTAAAAAGTTCCAAACTTGAAAATTCAATTTCGATCCTTGCGGCGGAGTAAATATTTTGTTTGAGCCGTTGGCATCTGGGGACGATTATTTTTCTGTGGTAAGTGAATAACTGTAACACGATAGCGGATCGCGATTTTTTAAAAGCTCTAAATTTTGAAAATTCAGGTTTGATCTTTGAGACAGTCATTATTTTGTTTGAGCTGTTGGAACCTCGAAATGATTATTTTCTGTGATAAGTGAATAATTGTAACAAGATAGTAGATCAAGTTTCTTAAAATTTTTCAATTTAAAAATCGAGTTTTGATCTTTCTGACAGTAAATATTTTATCTGAGCTGTTGGAACCTCGAAATGATTATTTTCTGTGATAAGTGAATAATTGCAACAAAATACTAAATCATTTCTTCCTCAAACTTTCAGCTGAAACAATTATATTAGAATCTTCTTGTACCAAGTGAATATTGATAATAAAATAACAAATCTCTTCGACTACCCCAAGATTGTTATCTTTGTGTAATAAATAATTGCTGCGACAGGCAGCTTAACGCTTTCAACAGAACGCTTTGATACTTCACCAATGCTGCTGCACGCGTTTCTGCACAGTGATCGGTTAAGAAAATCGCGTTCGCGGACTTGGGGCTCAGTCAAACGTCTAGCTGGGAACGGAAACCGGCGTCAGAAGGGGTCGGGCAACATCAGCGAAACACAGCGGAACGGGGAATGCTTGCGGAGCACAAAGGGGAAGTTGCAAATGTCAGAATTTAACAATCGATTCGCGGCGGAGCTCCTTTACGATCGCGTAAAGGATCATATGCTGAATCCGTCGTAAACTCTCGGTTCCCCGGCGCGACCCTCGGAGTTTCTGTTTTAAGCCGATTACATCGATTCCGTAACAGTGACGAAGACGGAACCGTGCCGGCTTGGAATTTATCGCGACGCCATTCAAATCGTGTTCCCGGCTTACTCGTCGGCAATCTGCTCGCTGGGATTGTTTGGCGATGTTTGGAGAAGTTTGCTGCAAACTGTTGCAAACTTCTTCAAACTATCAGTTGACAAAGTATCTTTGAACCAGTTGCCGAAGTACTGGTGTATTTGAAACTCTGATTATTTGATGTTTTTAAGTTGGCGAATAGTTGAGACGATCTAGGATCTAAGGTTTGGACTAGATCGTAACTGAGTCTATGCTAGATCCATGGGAAACTAGAATTAAGGATTCAATTTAATGTAGAATAACTGAGTTAAGTTTTAAGTGGATGGAATTTGGTATAGCGTTTGTCAAACCTGATCAAACCACGTCAAACTATGTCAAACTATATCAAAATCGGGTCTAGGTTAAATATAGTCTTGCAGAACTGGTTTGAATGTTAGGAAAATGTGAGGAACTGATTGTAATCCAATGTTTTCAGCATCAGAACCAATGACAAGGCAATGTCCCAATTTGGGTCGCTACGAGATAGTCTCGGTGCTGCATTCCCACCAGAACGACAATCCGGACGACATGTTAGGCGGAGATGGAGAGCCTAACGTTGCCAATGCTGCCGAGGTTCAAGATGGCAGAGTCACTTCGACACCTTATCCAGGACGGTGTCGTTATGGAAGCGTTCGCCGATTGGAGATCGGTTGCAAAACACCTGATCGCATGGAGTTTGCTACTTCCTGCAGCGACGAAGCACCGTCAGGTAAGAATTCCCAGTGACTTCTTCTTCAATCATGAGTTTGGAACGGTTTGAGAATATTTGTAGTCGATTGTCAAGAGAAAAATTATTTAAGTAACTATTCTATTGTTATAAGCTTTTTCAAACTTCGACTATGTTATGTATATCATGAGATTAACCCCTTAAAAAGGAGATTTCTAATATGGTTCAACAAACATAAATATCATTGAGCTGTGTTTTGTTTAAATGACACATTATTGCTCTTGTTAGCAGTTTGTATGGTTTATACTAAATCTAGACATAGAATGAGAATAGAATGTTTTCTTCAGTGCATTATTAACGGTAAATAGTTCTAACAAATGCACCTACAAAATACAATTATAAGGCAAGGGGTTAATTATTTAATCTAGAGAGAAAGATGAGTAGCTAGATCTTAATCATATGCCCTGCTGTTTACAACTACCTGAATCCATCACACACCTACTATAAAAATCGGCTAACCCTGATGACAAGGGTCCACGAGGTCCCTAAGAACACCAACTTCCCAAACATGGGTTCTGACGTTCAACTGACACCCGAACCGTCGTCAAACTCACTTGCCAAATTATCATACCCAAAGTACGCTTTACCCCTTTAGCTTCAAATAATCCGAACCGTGTCGCTGACAGCGTATCCTCTCTCATCACGAGAAGCCTCGATCCCAGTCACTCAAACCTGTTCACACATCGTCAAACATCTTCAAACATCAGTTTCTCAAAAAAATAAAACCTTAACACGTTGAACGTCGCACGATTTCATAGAGCAAAATACACAAAATGGAAAAAATACAATATTAAATCATCTGACTGAATTGGATTATCATTGCACGTTCATCAAACTGAATGTTACCACAATGGATAGCATTATTTATAATATAGAACTGTTTAAGAATAATCGTCGTTTAATTGAGCGAACTATAGTAATTCGATTTGGGGTCACTGGTGACCCCATGGCATTCGACGCGTTAACTGATCTGTCAGTAGGTCTCACTATCATCGATCCACAGTGTAAATAGTGTCCCACCGAATCTCAGGCCCTGCTGTCAAGCTTTTCCAACCGGTTTCCGTTCCAAGATATAAAAGGACACTGCCAGTGTCATTATTTCATAATGTCCTCGCGACGCAGAATCAGACACGGTGTCGAGTGAATCCTCGTAGGGTGGAGCACCTCCAGCAGGAACATCTTATCGGATTACCCGCAGCAGGTCGAGTTATCCTCCCATCGAGGGACGCGCCTCCCTCTCCCCATTTACGTTCACCTCCCTCCTGCCCCCTGGCCCGCCGCGGCAGGAAAGTTATCGCAAGTGGCGATAGTTAGTTTGCGGAGAGTCAGCGGCGTGACGGTTGTCGTGGTTCCCTGCTTGCTTATGTGCAAAGTTTGTAGCTTTATTCGGTTGTACGTGTTTATGGCGCGTGCCTACGTGCCCCGACCCTTCGAATATGCTTGCAGCTGGGTAACGGCGGTGTCTTCTTGCCCCCTTCCCTGCTACCGAACTCGCCGTTTTTTATACCCTTGATCTTGGCCAGATCAGTCCTGATCAATGTAGATGATCAGACTTTGATCCCCTTGGTGAAGGATTTCTCTGGGTTCTGCTGGGAGAATCTACTTTCAGCCGTAGTGCATTCTATCAATCTGTGGAGGTTGGGTGGCGATTATGTTGTTATAATGATGTGATTTTTCTATTAATAATATTATATTCTTGTGACATTGCTGGTATTACTGGTGTTATTGCTATAGTTATTAGTACTGCTATTGTTGTTATTATTGCTATATTTATTACTACTGTTGTTGTTGTTACTACTGCTATAGTTATTATTACTTGTTGTTATTGTTATTATTTCTGTAGTTATTACTACTGTTGTTATTATTATTATTTCTATAGTTATCGCTGCTGTTGTTATTGTTATTATTGCTATAGTTATCACTACTGTTATTGTTCTTATTATATTGTTATTACAACTGTTGTTATTGTTATTATTGCTATAGTTACTACTGTTGTTATTAATATTGTTTTTATAGTTATCGCTACAGTTGTTATTGTTATTATTGCTATAGTTATCGCTACTATTGTCATTGTTATTATTGCTGTAATTGTCACTACTATTATTATTGTTATTATTTCTATAGTTATTAATACTGTTATCATTGTCATCGTTAATATTGTTATAATTACTGCTATTGTTACTATTGCTCTAGTTACCACTACAGTTATTATTCTTATAATTGCTACATTTATCACTCCTGTTATTATTCTTATTATTACTATACTCATTACTACTCTTATCATTCTTAATATCGCAGTTGTTACACTTACTGTCATTGTTATTGCTATTATCGTCTCGAACACAACTACCGCCCATCATCCACACACTATTATCGCCACACAATCTTACCATTACAACATCCAACATCCCACTCAACGATTTTCCCATTTCAATCCCCCATTTCCCGAACACGATCCCACGTGGAAATTTTCATTTGTCCGTCCCATGGTCCAGCGGGGGCGAAAATCGCTCGGATCTTATCAAATAATTACGCCGGCCGGGCTACATTTGGCACGATTCTAATCCGGGCGTAGACAAACAGCCGGTTCCGCGGGACTGCTGGATGTGATTAACGATCACCGGGCTCGAGACGTTTCGAGATGTTCTCGGTACCAGCCTGCCGTCCCGGTAGCTAAGATCGCTGTTTGTACGAAGTCTTAATGACCAATTCGCGTTCCCCACTCGGCCGCTTGGGGTGGGGCGGGGGTGGAGAAGGCAGGGCCCGCCGGGGAACGCAATCCCCTTGTCGACAGCCGTGAGACACGAGGCTCGAGCAGCTAAATCCTCGGTTATGTCAACGGCTCCTCTCCGCTAAAATAATTCCGGATACGGAACGCCTAGCCCGGCTCCGACGGATCCGACCGTGTTTTTGTGGATTACGGGAGCGGCGCGATACCCCGCTGACGCGCGGACATCTTCCCTGCGCTACCGGAGGCGGTACTGATCTTTCCTCGCGAGCCTGCAGCGACAGGAATTCCCTTTTCCTCAGATAGATTGATTTTTTGCTGGTCGTTGCGTGGGGTCTGAGTGCTCGTGATTAATTCTAGCAGGGCTGAGACCTTGCTGGTGCAAGTGTTCGCTGCGTTTGCGGGGATGGGGTAGGAAGGGGTGTTTCAAAATGATGCGTTTGTGGTATGTGGTGGTTGAGAGTAGTTTGTCGATTTGAGGATCGTTTGAACTGGTTTGATTTGGGTATGAGTTAGTTGTGTGGGGGAAATGTTTGCGGAGTTCTTATATTTCATTGGAGAGACTTCATTAGGATTTGAGGAGTTTGGAGTAGTTTGCGCTATGTTTGAGCCAGCTTCAGGCGAGTTTGGAGAGGTTCGAATTGGATATGAGGAATCTTTGTGGGATAAATGTTTGCGGAGTTCGTATACTTTGTTGTTTATAGACTTCATTAGGATTTGAGTAATTTCAAGTAAGTTTGTGCTACGATTAAGCCAGTTTGAACTAGTTTTAATAGGTTTTAATTGGTTACGTGATGTTTGTAGGATAAATGTTTGTGGAATTCGTATATTTGATTGTCTAAAGACTTCATTAGGATTGTGACTAATTTAAAGTAAGCTTGTGCTATGTTTGACCCAGTTTGAGCCAGTTTGATCTATGTTTATGGAAATTTGATTAAAGAATATGCAGTTGGAGTGACATCTGTTACAAATTTGGGTGAACTTCTTAATTAAAAAACTCGGAAAATGTATCACACGTTATTTCTCTTATTAAGATTTTCAATATTACATAAAATCACTGAAACCTCTCTGTCAAACAGGAAGTAAACCCATTTCAATATCTTCAATTTCTTTCTATTGCTCCATTGCTTTCATTACGCCAGATTTATCGAGCAAGACGGCACCGTAGCTGCTGTCTTCAATTTTTGTCCCCGCGAAGCATATTCCACTGTGAAGTGTACCAGGCTCCAGTCGACGAATTTTTGTCGTTTATTTCCGTTTCAAGCGCGCACGGCCGCCTCGTCGCGCGAACGCTGTAAATTCTCATCTTTCTATCTCGCAGTCCCGATAAGGTATCGAGCCGAGACAACACGCCAGATATCGACGTGTCGAAGCGATTTACGGCTTTCGTTTATTCCGTTCTCGTTCGCGCCTTACTCGAAACGCAGTCGAGCTTTTTTTCCCCTCTCCGTCTCTCACGAGTGTCTCCGCCATCGAGAGCCGTTTTTCAAGGATTATTTCGAGTGGATCCGAACGACGACGAAACGAACCTCCAAGGGAGAACTGTTTCTCATCGGACAATTATTAAAACGTTTTTCTGAAATGTTCCGATAAGAAAAGTTCTGTAATATTGAAGCTACGATAGCAGGTTTGGCTGAGAAACAATAAGACTGTTGCTATGGGTATTTACATTCGGGAAATGATTTTCCAAATTAAAAATTTTCAAGTAATTTTTATATTTTAGAAATATTTGTTTCGTAATTGTTAATACCAAAGTATGATCCATGTGCCGAAAATATTTATTCTCCAATTGTCAATTTCAAAGTAATTCCCCTATACCAAAAATATTTATTCTCCAATTGTCAATTCCAAAGTAATTCGGATATCCCAAAAATATCTATTCTCCAATTGTCAATTCCAAAGTAATTCCCCTATTCCAAAAATATCTATTCTCCAATTGTCAATTTCCAAGTGATTCCCCTCTTCCAAAAATATCTATTCTCCAATTGTCAATTCCAAAGTAATTCCCCTATTCCAAAAATATCTATTCTCCAATTGTCAATTTCCAAGTGATTCCCCTCTTCCAAAAATATCTATTCTCCAATTGTCAATTCCAAAGTAATTCCCATATTCCAAAAATATCTATTCTCCAATTATCAATTTCCAAGTAACTCCCCTATTCCAAAAGTATCTATTCTCCAATTCTCAATTCCAAAGTAATTCCCATACTTGAAAAACATTTACCTTCTAATTCCCAAAATAATTCCTCACGAATAATCTCCCACGAAATTTCGACGTCTCCAAAAATACGAAACACTATCTTGCATCCCTCCATTTCCCTTAGCCTGTCACATTTGGAAAAAGGAAATACAGTTTCACAAACATTTCCCAAATACAAACTTCTCCCGCAACGGTCTCATTACTTCTCCTTCGTGTTTCCTATTCCGCGGGGGCGAAGTCTATTTTCAAGTCGCGCTGTCCTCTTCGTAATTACGCTTCGCAATTAAAAATTGTTAACTTACTGGGACAATAACTTAATTCCGTTTCATAAACGTTATGCAATTTCTTCTTTGCGCGGTCCGCTCCAATTGCTCCCTCCCTTTCTCTGCCATTTTTCTCATCATTGTTCCACCCCTCCCGCCACCCTTCCGCCACCCTTTCTGCAACTCGGTCGTGAAACGACTCTTAAGGTGAACGAAATCGAACACTTAGAATCGTCGCGCGGATGATTACCCATTCAGCGCTTTCGTTAGGACGATAAACGTTCCGGAATCCTTACCAGGGGCCGATAAACTACTCGGAAATTGTACTTTTGTGCTTCGATTCCCGATAACGGGGTCGCGTCCCCCTTATTCCCAATTTTCCCGTGGGTTCGTTCACTTCTCTACGAACATATTTCGACATGTTAATTAGCGGCTCACTGAAATATAGAAATTGAATCGGACCGAATGTTTCAGCAGCAAACATTAATGATTGTTAAGAATTAAATAGTATTATAAAACACGGGGAAAATAAATATGCACGCGAAACTAATTAACAATGATTAATTTTAGATCACTGAACTGTAGATACGTTTATGGTTTATTTTATTATTCAATTTCATGCGTATCCTTTTGGACACTGTTTCTGTTCGTGTATAAATTATGCATAATATATAAATAAAATTGAATCGTATGAAAAAATATATAAAGATGATACACATGAAATTAATAAGAATTAACCTTAGAAGATTGAAGAAGGGAATTCGTTCTATTTCTTCCGATTTTTCGATTTCAGTTTGTTTGTTTGGTTTTATATTTTATTGGTGTGTATGTTTATTACATTTACTGTTTAATATTTTATTCCATCACGTTACTATTTGTGAACTCTGGGTTTAAAAAACGTGGTACAAGGAAATTCGAGGAACCAACTCGGTTTTTAATAAGCGTCCCTCTGATGTCTTGATAAATGTAAACCGAAAAGTTTCCACTGGTACCTCGCTTATCGTCCAACTTTCTTTCCCGCGGAGTTATCAAGGAACACAGTTAGCTGAAACTTTAATACCCGCGGTATACTAAAAAAAAAGGAAATACTGCGATCTCTCCGTGGATTTTTATAGAAATTCTTGTCGTCAGCTTCCGACCGTAAATCCCGTTCATGTGTCCACTCGTGAATAGTCCGCCATTGTTCTCATCGTCATCGTTGGTTTGTCGATGATTTAGATGGCTTGGAGCAGTTCTGTTAACGTGAGAAACGATATATTAGGATGCACATCTAGAACTGTTAAGAAAAATTCATTGCAATTTAAAATGTACGAGATAACCTACTTGGCAACCATAAAAATTACTCATACGTTTAAACCACGTATTTATAAATAAAGTGTTATTATGCACATCTGAACTTGTTAAGAAAAATTCATTGCAATTTAATATAAGCGAGATAAACTGTAACAAACTTTTTGTTCCCTATATGTAGACGTGTCTGACTTATTTCATCTCATACTACTTGGCAACCGTAAAAATTACTCATACGTTTAAACCACCTATTTATAAACAAAATATTATAATGCACATCTGGAATTGTTATGAAAAATTCATTGTAATTTAGAATGAACGAGATAAACAGTAACAAACTTTTTGGTCACTGTATGTGGCTGTGTCTGACTTGTTTCGTCTCGTACTACTTAGCAACCGTAAAAATTAGGATTGAGCAAGTTATTTATAAATAAACTATTATGATACATATCTAGAATTGTTAAAAACAATCCATTGAAATTTTTTATCACTACATATAACCGTGTCTGACTTGTTTCATCTCGTACTACTTAGAAATCGTAAAAATTACTCATAGGCTTAAACCACATGTTTATAAACAAAATATTATGAATGTATATCAGATTTATTTGAATTTTATTGAAATTTCATAAATGTTCTTATGATATATCAAAAATATTTCAAATGGTAAATAGAAAAATATATACAGTGGATAGATAAAATACTTTTATTGTACAATAGTAATATATATACAGTTAAATAAAACTCAAATTTATTAATACTATATAATAGATATATTGTATAATAATAAACACGAGTCACTATTAATAAGTACAATGCACATGAATTAAATTGCATAATAATCTAATTTGTTGCTACAGCCAATTTTATCCATGCCAAAGTGAAAGTGTCGCCGCATCTGAAGCTATTCTCGGAATTTTTGCAGAGTACTGGTGCCACGGAACCTGGATCGAGAACGACACAGCTTACTTGGTCGCGAGCACAGACGTCGGCCGTTACTGTCTCGTCTACAGTGCATCAGCCGCTGCGACGGGAAGTCCTGAACTCTCCGTGACGGGTCATCTCGCTTCCTGTCCGAGAGCCTCCCACCGTCATCTAGTATCGTGGCAGGTCAACCTTACGTCGTACGGTAAGCATTGTTGACGACCCTTGATAGGACAATCGAGATTTCTGACGACAGATTCAACCACGAAACGCTAGAACCAACTCCCTCTCGGTTACATTAATCACTCCACTAGTGATTAATCCATTCACTTTCGAGGGACAGACAATTTTAGAAGACTCGCAGTATAAAGTAGACCAACTGCCTCGTTCGAAGATTGGACCTTTAATCTGATATCGGGTTCTTACACTCACTACTAATCGATTTAGTTAGACAGAATACTTAGGGTATGACGCCTAGATCCGTAGACAGGTAGACCAATTAGCTAATGGAGTATTTTGCGGAAGCAGATTTTTGGTCTTGATACGCTCAGTTGCTTTAAGATCTTCAGATGCGAGTTTGACTATATTTGGAAAAGTTTGAAGCATTGGATGCATCAAACTTCGTCGAACATCCTTGAAGGCGTCCTCTATCTTCAGTAGCTAAAGTCTTATCAGACTGTACCTTATCTCATTAGCTACCTAGCTTTGAAAACCTCCCAGTTTCGAGTTACAAACTTCGTCAAACATGATCAAACGAATCCTGTTCAATGTTTTTGGATTCTATACTGTAAAGAGTCACGACTAACTGCGATTCCCTTCATTCCAGCGCAATGCAGCGAGATCTCAACGGCCACGTCGTGGACGTACCGCATCTCAGCCTCGATGTACATCTTCGTGGTACTGGGTATCCTATTCGGCAGGTACATCGCGAGGTGATGCCACTGAGTGGAGGGGCCAGGCCACGCAGAGACGGCCGTGTAGTCAGCGAAGAGACGTACACACGACACACACGATCAGCGAGCAAGGGGAATCTCCAGAATCTATGCATATATATACATACGCCCAACGTATATATCTATAGATTTCTACGCATATATTAAACGGAACATTTCGAGGACCGAGGCTGACGCAGCCAAGGGAGGGGAAAGTAATCTAATAATCAAGCTTAGTGGATAAGTGACTGCCGCAGCAAGCTGGTGCAGCGAACGATGGACTCGACAGAAGAGACAGCTCGCGCGCGCACCCATTGAAACCTGCTAGTTCCTTCGTCGGCGGACGTGGCGGATACCCGGACGGACAGTTGTACATAAAGTAGCGAAACGTTCGTGGAACACCTTCCCCCCAGTTGACAGAGTCTTGCTGTACGAGGATCATTAATGTTCTGCTAGCTTCTCTGGGATTATTATGTCCCTCAGCCGTGAGGCGATCTATCAAGTACATCTATGATCTGTGAAATGATCTATACTCTTCTTTCCACGCGTGTGTCAACCTTCATTCCGTTTTCCCTAAGTTTGATTACGTTCGGGGTGGTTTGAGCATGTTTGTGCAAACATTATATGTGATTACCACGTGAAACCTGTTGCAACCACGGTCGACTAAACATTTCACTGCTTGGATTTATAGAAAATTATTTGACATTTCTAAACATTCTTTTATAGAAACCATAGAAGCGCGATTAAGATGTCACTTAAATTATATTTTTATTTGCATGTTAATAAATCAACTATTTTAATCGTTTATTGAGGAAGCATTTATATGCTTTCAATTATTGTGAAAGAATAAATGAGGAATGCGTCATTTTGACCTATAGTAGCTCTACTGTTAAACAACTTTTAATGGCAATTTCAATAATAACTTGCGCAGCTTTGCCACCCTATAGGCTCCCTGCAACCTCATCGCCGACTTCCCATAGAAGTCCTAAAAATGGCTCGAGTTCGCGAAAGCCCTACTTGGTCTGACCCACGCAACCTATTCTACTGCGGAGCAGTAGCGTCCATAGACCAGCAAAGCTATAACCTCAACTCTTCCACTTCATTGCCCAACCCTTGATCTATTATTTTATTCAATAAATCCCGACGTGTGCAAAGAAGAGTGTAAATGGAAGCCATCAGCGAGAATAAACTCCGGGTGCTTGGGACTGATGAACAGTGAAATATTGGCAGTGTTTACTCGTTCAGCCGTTGATCATCTTGTAGACCTTTCACTCGATCGGGCTGAGATCAAAGGGGGAAACGAGATTAGGCCGAGTGGCTGGGGAATATCGAGGGATGCGAGGTGTTCCGGGACACGGTGGACCGTTAAAACTAAACAGACGAGATTGCGAGAGGCGGGACGAGACTTTCTGTGTGCAATTCTTAGCCGTACAGATGCTGACGGATGTTCGGCGACCACTGTGCTAAAGGGAATCCCAGGAAACCTTCCAACGTCACGGGCATCCCCTCTGCGACACGGTAATTCCCGAAAAGCACAGTAGTGTCTCGATGTTCGTCCACGGCTAAGGGCGAAGGGCCCACGCGAGCGTGGCATGCACCGCAAGGAACGATGTATAATAAACGAGACGAAAACAAACAAACAGAAAAAAAAATGGAAAATACACAAAAATAAGGGTGCCGGGGCCAATATTGTGTGCGTCGAATGGTGGCTGTAGCCCAAGTGTGTGAGAGCGAGAGAGAGATATATATACGAGAATGGCGAGCGAAGGACGAGAAGAGAGCGAGAAACTAGTACTTACTTAGGTCCGCGGGGCGTCCGCCATGTTTGCCGAGGCGCGTGCGGCGTTTGACCGAGCCGGATCAGTTTTGCGAGGCGCGTTGTACACAGGAACAGTAGCGCCGCTGCGATTGTACGTCGCGTTTTTAATTAAACTTCCGTGGCACGATCGCGTCGTGAGGAGAACAGAAGGAAATTGTGTGTGCGTGGTGAAAGGAGAAATGAT